GTCTTTTGCACCAATCCAGTCGACATGTAACACCTTAAACCGAAAGTCCCCTGCTCAACGATCGCGCAGTTGTCCATAATGTAGACGTAGTCCGTCTTCACAACAAGGTTGCAGTGCGTGCGTCACGAGCACACGAGACTTCAATCCTAGCGGACCATTTGTGAAGCAATCCTCCAGTATTCGCTTGCCGGTGTGGGCATCAACAGCACTCAGCGCGTCATCCATGAGCACAGTATCCGCACCAGCATATGCAGCTCGTGCCAATGACATGCGGGCCTGAAAATATTGGTCTGGATACTGGTTTCTGCACAGGTCAAATGACGCTCACTTTCTGGCCTCCTGATGGCACGTTTCAATGTGAGCATGGAGCGCGTTCATATTGAACTTGTCACTCAAGTTGATACCTCTCTCTCCTATCTCCGTATTCTCACTTGAGGAAGCATTTCGAGATCGCGTTCGAGGCATCAGGCTCTCACCACCTCTCAGAATCTGAATAGGAGTCGAGGCAAATGAATACACATTCATCATGCCGAAGGACAGGTTGCGGTCTCACCTCTGGTCATCATCCGGCTGGCCAAAGGTGATGTTCTGTCGTGGCGTTGATGATCCACGGAGTCTGAGGGACATAGGCTATCTGCGAAGAGAACATGGCCTATCTGTAGAGCGTGAGCAGCGAAAAACACGTCAAGCAGCACGCGTGAAACCTACATGACCGCTGACTCTCCGCATCTCACCGATCAACGCATGCAGCAGAGAGCTCTGCGAACACAACAGTTGAGATGATTAAAAAACGAATAAATGCCCTAATCAGACTATACCTTTCCAGAGCCGGATAGCAACAAAATATCCTTTCGGGACTTGAGTAAGCCTTTCAACTCGAAGGGCTTCTCGTTCTTCTTCCCATCATCAGCAGCGCTGGCCGCGCCTTCCTGAGGAGCCTGGCCGAGCTCGCCCTTATTATCACGCGAATCCTTCTTGCGCTTTCCCAGACAACGAAATCGACGCTCGGGTTTTCGAGGCGGGGGAAGGCGCTCAGGAAGTCTGTTCCATGCATTCGCATTCGTGTCTGAAATGTTCTCTTCTGCAGGCTTGTGCGCTGTGTCCCAGGTAAAGTCGCCCTCGACATCTATGGCATATTTATTAGACGAGTCGATCGTTTATGGTTCGATGAGCTCCTCTACTAGGAGAAATTTGGGGATACGCTTTAGAGCGACGACGGAGTCCGTGGCGTGTGCGAGGACGATCGGTAGGGTTATCAGCGGCATCTGAATGATCTGTAAAGTCTGATGGGTTGGCCAGATGAACGCGATGATGCCGATGTACGTTGAGAAACTGCAGCGACGTGAAGATGATCGAGACATTCAAAGTGTGGCCGCTCAAGGCGTAGGTGATCTACGGTTGTGCCACGTGGTAGCACATTCTAACCCATCAGCGTATGAGACTCAACTTACGAATGAGACTTAATTTACGAATGAGAGGACAGCAGCCAGGACTGGTATCATGGTGACCACACTTATCAGGCTGGCTAGAGCGAGACTACGAGCGATGTCCAGATGAGCTGACGAGGCAAAGGCGGGGATTGACGAAAACGCACCCGGTGTACTTCCTTCTGCCCAGTAGTAGAGGCCTTGTGTGCGAAAAAGCCTTCCCATGAAAAGAATTTGATGAGCCGAATGCCTAATAGAACCTATGACCGCGACGATCACGTCAATGCAAAACGTAGTAAATTCTGAGAATAGGGAGGACCTCGATGATGGCCCGCACACGCTTGTCCGTCAGCACAACACCCATGCTACACTGCTTAAACAAGGCAAACGCGCAAATCAACTCCGCAGGGAGGCCGAGGATCATGACCTGAATAAAGTCCAGTGAGCGCGAAAATACAGTGCGTCAAGACGTGTCCACGTACACTGAAACCGACGAGTCCAGAATAACCCAGCTATTCACAGGGATCGTCTAAGCTATGTGGAATATCCCATCGAAGGAGTCTACTCACAGCTTTTAACCGAAGAGCTACTCCAATAATGATCTGTAAAGGAGCGATCCACAGACTATTGTGAGGGGGCTCAAATTAGCTGAGAACAGACGACGTGTCCACGCACCTCCTACTTGTGAGCATAGTACCTGTTCTTCTTCAGACGGGTTGCATCTGTAGAGATCATGGTCGTGATGTTGCCCATGCTATGTTCCAGCCGCGCTCTAGCGCTGAGGCATAATGGTACCAATAATCTAAAGAACATAAATCAGTCAGAATGTTTTTAGACATCGGAGGAAGATCAAACACTTACTTAAGCGAGTAGTCACATGTCTGCATGTCGAGCGGAGTATCAGTACGAATCTTACACGATGAGAGGATATATTACCAGACTGGAGGCCTCTGATTACGACGGTGTTCAACAGACCGACCATGGTAGTTGAAGGTGAGCTTACCTTGCATGACATAGCGCGAACGCAAGCCCAACTCCATATCCGACACCCTTGGGTTTGTCGATCACTACACGCTCGGATTCAGGGAGCTTCCAGGTAGATATACCCGTCTTTGAGCCATGTCAGAATCACTTTGTTCACGAGCGGCTTGTGTGTTTAGCATGGCTAACAATTAGGAGGTGATGAGCGAGCCTTTAGGGATGTATGACAGCGAATGTTCAACGACATACTGCCGACGAGAGTCAAAAAGCCAGCTGTCCACCAAAGGTTGAGGTACGCGTTGTGCAGCGCTTTGAGCAGCGATTCGTCGTACCTGTGATCTGTATCAGACGTTTCCGTTCTTTGCGACAACTCCTCGGTAGCGGTAGCGTTTGCTTCGACATCTATGTCTTTCTTCTCGTCAATGACCGGTTTCGTATCGGAAATACGCTTCTCGTCTTCAATCGTAACAAATCGTGCCGACTGTTCAGAAATAAGCCTATCGTTCTTGTTCGTTTCTGCTTGTCGTAGGAACCGGGGGCGTTTATACGGGGAACATCGTGCATAAAACTCTCGTTCCACGACATCTGTGAGGACGTCTGTGAGTCGTTCAGGAGGAAGTTGCCATAAATCTGGCCGAGTAAGCTTCAGCAACACATCAAGCCAATTTAATACTTGCGATCGTTTTGCAAGGCACGCGAGAAGCCCACTTTCAGAAATGGACCGAGCCAGCCCAAGAGTAGTCTGGAAATCCACCTGTTGCAAATGGCCAGCGTATCATTGGTGCGATCACACTATCTAAACCCGCGCCGCTCGGCAGCTGGGTGCTATTAGGCTGCCCAGAGAATGTAGGATAGATCTAGATTAGCTCTGCGCTTGCTGCACGGACGGTGTTGAAATGCATGAAAGTTGAGATATACACTCATGAAGCTTCTCTCGTTGGAACTACCTCACCCTCGCCAAAGTCAGGCGGCGCGGGAAGAGGATGCAAAGGGTTCCACATAATCTTGGTCACCTTCAAACGACGGGAGGAAAAAGCACGTCGTGGATTGAGGCTAACTTCAAGGCCTTGCATATGTGTTGCAGAGGAGTCAATTCGTGTCTCCACTGGCGCGATTGGCACAGCACCGGGTCCGCAACAAACAAAAGCATAGCACAGACGCTACTG